GATTTTTCTATTTTTAGTGGAAAAAAAATAGACTACCGCTTAACTAGACAAGGTAGTTTCTACTATTTTTTAAAAAATATGTAGCATCTAACTGCTTTATGTCAGCTTCCTAGCAGAAGTTATTATAAGAAAAGAACTGACATTTCTGATAAGGCTTTAAGGAACAAGGACTAAGAAGTGAGGTGTTAAGTAATGCATGCAATTTTATTTTAATAGCATTACTTCCTTTGCTAAACATAATATGGGATAAAAAGAAATCTAACAGGCAAGAAATAATATAATAGGGTTTGAGTAACAATTTGTTGATGTCTATAAATACCAGTCTTTAGAAATAACTATACCCACAATTATTCAAATGTATATAATTTGTAAAACTGGAAGAACTGTAACCTTGTTGCCCAATCATTTATCATATATTTGCATACCAAGGGGAAATCAGTGGATCTATATAACTGTTCATAAGTTTGAGAGACTTTTCTTGTCTTAGAAAATCAATATATCAAGATTTTTTTAAATATTAGAAAAAAGGTCTCTATAAAATTCAGTTTTCCACACATTTTCATGTCAAAGGGAACCATAACATTACCTGATTTAAAGCAAACAATTCTGGAAATACGGGTTCATTTTACTTTTTTTTTTTTTAGTTTAGCCATCCTGCTTCCTGTTGGCAGCTCAGCAGCAGCTCAGCTTGTGCTGGGAATCGAACCGCTGTTGCTCAGAGCTCACCATCTTGAGCGACCTCTTAACCAACTGAGCCACTCAGCCGGCCCGCGGGTTCATTTTACTTATAGCCTCAACACTGGACTCATGATATCCCTGACACTGAGGTTCTTCCTGCATATATTTTATCTCCCAGAAACCATCCATAGGCTGTGGTTTCACCAAGAATAATGAGGTTGGATTACAATGATGGGATAACAGATGTTATGTTTTACTACAAAAAGAGATTTATTTTCAAAAGATTAGTAAACAAATCTCGTTTTTACTCTTGACCAATAAGAGCTAGCCAAACCACTATACAATGCTTTTCTGTTACATTGTTACTTCTGAGGAGTGACGGCTGCAGTTTCTAGATGCCTTGACCATGCCCCCAGGATGATGTCACTGCAGAGGCCTTTAAGACAACACAAAAGAAGGAATGAGCATTGAGTTCAAGGAAAACATGGGGCTTGGGGCCAAGGAAATCTAATGAAATCTTCACAGGCCTTCTGGAGGAACTGATTTATTTAGATATAAACCTTGTATCCTTCAAAGTGCTTGTCATCACTTTTAAGTTAACCACAATACAGAACAGGATAATTAGAGGGAAGCACAAAAATAAGACCACCTAATAGAAGAAGCAGCATTGGATTTTACCCAAGACTAGAGATAAAAGGCACAGCCATGCCTTCCTGACAACGGTAAAGGAAGTTGGTAACTTAGAAATAAACAGGTGAAGCAGAGACCACCTGGCAAGTGGCCATCTTGCTTAAGATGTGAACATTTTAATGGGATTTCATATTTTCACTTCCACATGAATAGAGAGTTTTAACAGGATTTATTAATAGGACCCAGTGGTTTTGAAAATATGGAAATCTCTTGTGTGTGGTTGGTGCCTGGCAGCTACTCATAAAAATTGAGCTATAACGGCTTTGAGAAGTAATTACTTGAGGCCCCCTTTGTGTACGGCAGCTCTCAGGACAGCAGCTGCAAAGAATGCTCACCCTCTAAGAGCCCTGCAGGTGATTCTAATGAGCTGGCTGCCAGGTTCAGAGCATCGGGTCTTAATTGTGGTTTTCAAGCTATGGCCCAGAGGGGCAGATTATTAGGACCCGCTAATTTATACTGATTTAGTAATTGGCACTTTTAAAGGGCCTGAACAAATGACCTAAGATTCTATAAGTAGCTACACTTGAT